AAAGGTGTCTGCGACCACACAAAAGGCCACACCACCTTTGTCTTTATACCTTCGATTTGCTTGTTTTGTTTACTCTTGCAGATGCAGCATGACTCTACTGGAGATGTAGAGCTCCGTCTTATTGACGATCTAACATCGGAGGATATTCACCTCTTGTCAATGCTTCATGCTGACCATCCGGTCTTATCTACCTCATTATTGGCGGAAATGGGTCTCGATAGTTCAATCGACTTGCTGCAAAAGATGAATGAGATGGGCTCAATGATTGAAAAAGAAAGCAAAGTGGACCTCAGTTTGCCTTTCGACTCATTCGAATCGGATGAAGACACTGCCTCTACATCTCTCACTGAGTTGTTCTCTTGCTCTCGCCTCGTGCTTCACCAGATCTGGCCGAATTTGCTTCTCACTCTTTTACTTTGTCTTCTATTGCGAGTTACTTGTTATCTTATACCATTGCTAATGCGTCCTGGACGTTTTCGAGTACAGGGCAAAGCCAAAGGTAAATTCACACCCCACTCCTCGCATTTATTTCTTACAGAAATCCATCTTATATATTTTGTTTTGCATCTTTAAACAATTAGGCACCATTTAATGATGCATATATATTGCCTCTCCTATTGAAGCTTTGTCCTTTCATAGCATCAGATTGTATTTTTCCAGAGCTCTAGCTGACCATGCGTAGTTAACCGATATATGGGTCGCATTATATTGCCTTTAGGGTAAAATCGTCTCAAGCTTGTGCCTCTTGCATAGACCTAACTTTGGAATACTAAGGATGGATAGAATAGAGTTACATTTTATGTCTGAAGGGTTTGTAAAATTGCATCAAGTATTAGCCCTCGGTCTGTGTTTGAACAAGATTTTAGTTCATTTTTAGATTCACCACTAAAAAAACTCTTGGTTTGCTTATTTACACATATTATTTCTAGTTCTCTGTATTTCTTTATCATACCTAATGGGAATAAAATTCTTCTAAAATTTAGCATTGCTTCAGATTATATTCTATTTTCTATTCTTTTTTTTGTCTTTCAGTACCTCAGTATTTCCGGGATTGTTTTGCTGAGGCTCTTTCTCATCTCACCTCAATTCTGTTTGGTTTGTAATTCAGAGATTTTTTCTCTTGTTCCTCTTTCGATTATGCTTTCTTCAGACTTCTGAGTTTGATTGATGGAAGATTGATCAAGCTATGGGAAAAGTTTATTCATTGTCTACTAGGGTGTGATGAGTATTCCCAAACCGTCATTCGTATACTGAGGACTGAAATATGCTCTATATTATTAAGCTAACAATAAATAGGTAACGCAAATACTCATTGCTTGTTTAAATTTTTTGTGCACGCCTGTATTCTTAGGCTGGTGTTAATATTTAGGAGATATATATACAAAAATCTAGTTCTTTGTGCCAAATTAATAAAGTAAAATTGTTCGCTGTGTCTCGAGGAATCTCTTTGCGTACATGTATTGGGTCTACTTATATTTCAGGCGAAGGTGTGTATTGACAAGATTGGAGGATCGATCCTACCAGAAATAGGTCGTGGCTTCTTCTTTGCCAGCTATCGGTTAGCTTTATGGTAAAATCATGTATGATGTTGTCCCAAGGCGATCCCCTTCGATTCCGATGAAGGTTCGCTAACCCTTCTTTTGCCGAAAACAATCAGTCTCAAAACCTACTTATATCAAAAATAAGAAATATCATTGCATTTC